ACTGGTCTTTGGGTTCGTACTCATGAACAACCTCCGAAAGCCGATGACTCCGACAATGAGCTAGAACAGGACGCAAAACAAGCACCACCAGAGGAACAAGCACGAAAAGAGGATCAAATGCCTCCATACTTTCAATTCTTTATGGAGACATTTGAATTTCGGTATGCATCCATGGATTCTCGCTTCACTTCCATAGAGTCTCATTTATCCACAATGGGAGCTCAACAATTGGAAATTCTCCGGGAGATGCGCGCGATCAACGCTTCTATGAATGAACGCATTAATGCACTTTCACTTGATATGGCCACTATGCGAGCTCATTTTCCTCCTCCTGATCCTCCTGCGGATACTTGATTCTTTGTCTTGCTTTAGTACTTTGTAATAGAACATGGAGTTTATTGTTTCAACATTTTGAATGACTTTGGATTGTTTTTACTTTGGTTGTTGGATATTTGAACTTATATTTCTTATATATTTGGTTTGGTTTTACCTTTTAATTTGAGCTTAATATTTATTTTTGCATCATATTAGTTGCATTATGACCAGTTATGCCATTTCATATTTGATTATAAATATTGGATTATGAAACTAATGACTAACATTTCTCTTGATTGTGATCTTAGCAGCTTAAGCTATATTTAGTTATAATCAATTGGCTAATTGTTTTTCAAAAACTTGTTTAAAATCTTTTAAAGGTCTTTTTGATTTAACAAAAAGGGGAGAAATGTTAGAGTGTTTTAAAGGGGAGAAATGTTAGAGTAAGGGGGAGTAATTTCAAACTTGATTTCAAAATCTTAAAATTACTAAAATGTTTTGTTATATCAAAAAGGGGGAGATTGTTGAAAACATTTTGATATTTCGATATAACAAATTAAGTTAAATAAATTTTAAGATTTTCCAAAAGATTTTCTAAGTATATTCGATATAATTATTCAAATATCAAAATATTACTCCAAATCTTTTGAATGTCATTTTTAATCCTTACTCAAGTGTAAAATTAAGTTTTAATCTTAAAATAATTTCAAAACAATTTTACAAAGTATTTCGAACCGTTTCAAAGCCAAAAATTCCAGATTATCCAGAGGGGACCGATTCCCCCCTGATCAACGGTCAAAATATTTAAATTTTACACTTAGGGAATCGAATCCCTATGAGGGGGAACCGATTCCCTATGAGGGGGTACCGATTCCCCCACGCCCCAAGCTGTTTTATTAATTGATTTCATACTAAAACGGCTCCATTGACTCCACTAATCATCCCCAACGGTCAGAATCAATTGAAGGAGTATTTAAAAAAGCTTAGAAGCCGTTGATAAAAAACAAGAAACAATAATCAACAAGAATCAAGAGAGAATCAAAGAGAAAGCATCAAACATCAAGTTTGAGCATTTTCAAGCCTATTTCATTCAATATTCATTTTTGCTTTCAAGAACACTTATTGTGCTCAATTGTATTATTCTTGAGTGTTCTTTCTTTGTTCTAGAATTGTGCAAATATCTTGCCTTGTGAGGATTTTCTTGTAACTTTGCAAAATTTGTAGTGTTCTCTTTGGGAGAGAGTGTTCTCAAGAATTTGGGGTATAATTCTTGAGGGATTTGTGAGGTTACTCTTTGTCCTCAAAAGAAAGACAAATTACTGAATTTGTGGAAAATCCTTAGTGTGGATAGCTAAGGTAGTGGACGTAGACTTTGGTTGATAAAGTCGAACCACTCTAAATCGCTGCGCAATAACTTTTAATTTTCTGCAAAGCTTCCACCGAAATTTTTATTTGTCAATTCATCCCCCTCTTGGCCAATTTCATTGAACGATTAACTCAACGGGCTTCGATTTCTTCTTGCATCGCCATCATCCACAATGAAGCATCTGAGCTGTTTATTGCCTCCTGGTATGTTGATGGCTCACCATCCTTTGTTAAAAGGCAGTATGCAATATTACCTTCTATAACATAATCTTAATGCCAATTAGGACGTCTTCTCACATGATCTGATTGACGAGTTGTTGGAGTTTCAGAACTCTCTGGTTCTTGTTCATTATGTGTTGGTTCTACTTTAGAAGAATCTCCTTGTTCAACCTCCTTTTCCACATGTATATGTGTAGTCTCTGACTTTTCAGCGCTATCATCATCTTCTTTTCTTTGTAGCTTATCTTCTACAAAGATAACATCCCTGTTGATGATCACTTTGCGGGCAGTGAGATCCCACAAGCGATACCCCTTTACACCATCAGCATACCCCAAGAATTTGTATTTCCTAGATTTTGGATCCAACTTTGAAATTTCTTGGGAGTTGTACATCACGTACACTATACTTCCAAATACATGGAGGTTTGAATAATCAGCTGGTTTACCAGTCCATATGTCCATTGGTGTCTTCAGCTCTATTGCAGTTGATGGAGCTCGATTCACCAAATAACAGGCGGTATTGGCTGCTTCTGCCCAGAATGATTTTTCTAGGCTTGCATCCCTCAACATTGCTCTTGTTCTTTCTAACAAGGTTCTGTTCATCCGCTCTGCCACTCCATTTTGTTGAAGAGTGTTCGCCACTATGAACTGTCTTTTGATGCCTTCTTTCCTGTAAAAGTCATCAAATTCTTTGCTTGTGTATTCTCCTCCATTATCTGTTCTGAAACACTTGATCTTATTTCCAGAATCAAGTTCCACCTGCGCTTTGAAGTTTTTGAAAGTTGAAAACACATCTGACTTCTTTTTAATATGGTACACCCAACAACTCCTAGAGTAGTCATCAATAAATGAGACAAAATATTTTGCTCCGCCTAGAGATGTAACTGGTGCTTTCCATACGTCAGAGTGAACCAATTCTAGAACACTTTTACCTCTAGAATTTGATGTGTTGAATTTCAACCGGTGCTGCTTACTTGTTATGCAATGCTCACAAAAAGTAAGTGATATCTTTGTTAAGCCTAGAAGTAGCTTTTTCTCCACAAGGACTTTCATTCCTTGTTTTGACATGTGTCCAAGTTTCTGATGCCATAACATTACAGAATCTGAACTACATGAGGCAACAGAGGCTTATGCTTCTAGCAAAGTCTCTCCCTTCAGCATGTACAAGTTTGATGCCATCTTTTCGCCTTTCATCACCACAAGCGCTCCACGAAACACCTTCATGATTCCTCTCTGTGTTTCAATCTTGCTTGCATTATTATCCAATAATCCGTAGGATAATAAATTTTTCTTCAAGCCTTTCACGTGCCGCATATCTCGAACAACTTTAATTGTTCCATCATACATCTTCAACTTGATGGTTCCAACGCCAACGATCTCTAAGGCATGATAATTGCAACTATACACATATCCTCCTGAGACAGGTTCATAATGATGGAACCATTCTCTACTTGAGGTCATGTGATATGTTGCTCCCGAATCAATGAGCCATATATATGTAAATCGTTTTCTACCTTCCACGGTAGTTGACGCTTCACAACATAGAGCATCTCCATTATCTGAAGTGTTTGCGGTATTGCCTGGTGGATTGGAGTTTTTATTTAGATTCCAACAATCCTTCTTCAAGTGACCATTCTTTCCATAGTTGTAACACTTTAAATTCTTCTTGCTCTTTGACTTCGATCTACCATGTTTGTGACTGTTGCTTTGGCCACGTTCTGTTGATCTCCCTTTCATCGTTGTCAACGCTTCTGCTTATTGCAGATTTACTTGTATGTCTTCCTTATTCTTGAGCCGATTTTCTTCTTGTAGAATAGCAGCTGCAACGTCATCGAAGACTAGGCTGTTGACATTACTGTTTATCAAGTTGATGATGAGTTGATCATACTAATCCGATAGACTTTGAAGTAGAAGTTTAGCACGTTCTTGTTCTCCTATTTTATAGCTTAAGGATGTAAGCTGAGAAAATAAAGTGTTCAGTGTATTTAAGTGTTCCGTCACTGAAGTAGATTCTGGCATACGGAGAGTGTAAAATTTTCTCTTAAGGAAAATTTTATTGTGCAGCGATGTGGCCTCGTACAGTTTGGTGAGATGATCCCTGATCTCCTTAGCTGTCTTCTTATCCTCGATGCTTGGCAATACTTCATCTGCTAATGCTAGATGAAAGTTTACTATAACATTCCCGTCCATCTCGATCCATTTGTTGTCATCTGTGAAATCTACTAGCCTTTCACTGATACCTGCTAGACAATTGTCTTTCCTCAGTATAGCCTTCATCTTCAATTTTCACAATGAGAAATTTCTCTCATTGAACTTTTCAATATCAAATTTCATTGTCATAGCTTCTATTACGGATAGCTCCCACTATTTCACTATCGTGAATAGTTCTCTGGAACCTTCAAAGAATGGGTAATACATTCTTACTTTCTTATGTTGGAGGATCCACCTTTTGGTGGCAACCAAAAAGACAATAAGCAGATATTACACACTCAAATCTGGCTCAGATACCAATTGTTGCGGAAGACAACTATCGGATAGAGCAAAATCGCAATTGATAATTTGAGAAAATAAAATGGAATATAAAAGAGACAAAATTTACGTGGAAAACCCCTAAATAATATAGGGTAAAAAGCACGGGCAACGGTAGAAGAATTTCACTATGAGAGAATAGGAATTACTTCTCTCGATCTACCAAGGAGAAAACATTGATAATTCTCTCTTGATAAAAAGGAGAAAACAACTCTCAAGAAACTCTCTAAATTCTCTAGTATTGGAAGAAAGTTAAAATGCTTTGGGATGGTTTTGAAGGTAAATGAGCTAGGGTATTTATAGTTGAAGCTTAAGGACTAATTTGTAAATACCCTAAATTATAATGACTAAAAAATGAGATTTTACCATTACTCAAATTTAATAAAAAATAGCAATTTTCGGTGCTTTTTTTTAATTCATTCGGTGCAACAATTTCAACAATTGTTGCTTGACTTTTCTACATCATATTCTTTATTTTTCTGAAATTTTAGTATTTAGTAAATATTAACATATATTCAAATATGAATATAATATAATATTTGAGATTAGTTTAGCATTACAAGGCTTAGCTAGTGCAGTGCAGTGCAGTACAGTCCACATGGGGTTAGCATCTTAAGATATAACCTAATTTATGTTTGATCTACTGACCGAAACGTAATAATAATAATAATAATAATAATAATAATAATTTGGTTTATTATTACATAAGTAAACTCCTAATTATAGCAGCCTCGGCACTGTCGGCGTCAATGGTGGCCAAGAGCTGAGAGAGCCGGTCACTTAGATCGTCCACCTCCTTATGCAAGCTTCTAACGTAATTGCATGTCTCTTGTAAAACCTTGGACGCTGATACCTGCAACACTTAAGCAATAATTAAATGCTAAATTTTCAGTTAGATATTATATTTTTTAAATAGTTGTATAAGTTAATCGAATTAAGATGTAAATCACTCAAACGTTTAGATATATATATATTAACTTATAGGTCACTTAATTTCCTTCTGACAAAGCTGCTCCACTCTTTTATTGTTTTCCATGATATTGTTGAGACAGGCCACTACAGAAAATGAATAATTGCAATCTTTTTTGTATAATGATGGTAATATAATTATAATCTATTTTTAAACTCAAATTTAAACTTTAATTTAATTATTTTTATAATATTGTAAATTTGTAACTTTGTTGTGACAAGGAAAGGTCAACATTTCCTGGACAATGGAGGGGTCAAATTTTCAGACTGTGTTTTCAATGACTAGTATTATTCTAACTGAAACAAACTATTCGTATGCGGTACATGCACCAGTGGAAGTAGTCAGACATTTATTATATTTTCTTCCAGTTTCCGGCTACAGAGAAGTAACAATTCAGCTTGATGGAAAAATAAAAGGTAATTTAAACGTACCTTGTCAGATCGGCTATTGCCTATCTCCGGAAGAACCTGCCCTAGCTTGGAGACGAGTTCAATTATCTGATCGTCGGAAATCCGGGAAACGTCTCCACCCGACTGTCTCGACGACCGTCGGTTAGACATCGTGGAAATGAACACAGAGTTTCTTTGTATTTCTTGTGTGGTGGAAATGCAAATGGGAGGGGGTAAGGGAAAACAAAGTGTATAAATGGAAGTGTTGTGGGTTTGAGAAAAAAAATTGAAAAATGGAGTAATGTTAGATGGAAGAGATGAAGAAATGGAGGAAGTGGAAAGAGGGATATAAAGAGGAAGTAATGAAGGACCACCTATGGGGAGAGAGGATGTACAGTAACAAAGACAGAGATGTTAGATGTGAAGAAGACAATTGTATTCAATAAGCTGAGTTTGGAGCTAACAAGTTTTTTTTTTAAGTTTAAAGTCAATATTTATGTGTTAAGAAAGATTGCATTTTCAATTAGAAAATTAAAACATGAAAGACATTATTAGCATAAGTAATTGTTATAAATTTCAAATCAAAAATAATAAAACATACATCAACCTTAAAAAATTGTATTATAAAGGAAAAAAATACTAGATTTTTCTCTCCTCCTGTTGTTTACTCCTTTTATTTTTTTTTCATTTTGCATGGCCATGAAACCGGTCACGGTAGGATGGATCGAGAATAATAGGTGGAGATGGTCTCCCTTAAAATATTTAAATTTCTATATATTATAGATATTTTATTTATACTTTTTATTAAAAATATATTTTCGTTTCCCTAAAATTTTATACGTAAAATTTTATAAGTACACTAATCCTAAAATTTTATAATATCCTACGTACGTCCCTGAGTGACGACATCAGTCTTAATACTAATTTTCGACTGTCAATATTCTTTATTTTTCCTTTACTTTCTTATATCACATCTTTGATTCTCCAATGTTTTTTCAGTTTTTAATAACTTTATTTTTATGACACGTTTTCATATGTCTTTATGTCATATTTTCTCTGCCTTTTGATACATTTTTTATTTTCTTTATCGGTCGTTTGACAGTTCTTTTCATTTATCTTTTTCTCAAGGTTTAATTTGATGTTAATCAATATGATGTTTATTTGTTATCTTGTTGATCTTCCTTTCTTTGGACCCTCAGGTTGGATTTGGATACGCTGTTGAGTTCATGGATAGTTTTTTCATGTCTCTCGGCTCTGATTTATGATTTGTCTATAATCTTTAAGTAATTTGATCTACTTTTGTGGTTCATTTGTCAATGTAGTTAGATATGTTCGTAATGATCTTTGTTCGAGTTTTTTGGTTGAATTTTTAACCTTTTCCTTGATCATTGTATGATCTCAAATAGTTAGTTTCTTATGTTAATTATTATAGAAAAATGACCTACTTATATGTTTAATCTACTTTTATGATCATAAATTGTCATTATAATTTTGAATATTTTCTCCTTTTCGTAAAACTAGCTGTTTGTATTTTAAAAAAATAATATATTATGTATATGCAGCAAGTTAAATTTGTATAAAGTCTAAATAAATATATATATTCAAATTTATATATGATATTTATAATCAATAAATTTCATTGATTGACGAATAGTCTTCGTAGAATATAATTATATAAAATATAAGAAAATAGAAAATAACACAAATTCAATCTGAAAATATATTTAATGGAATTAATTTAAAACTAAAAAATAAGAGAAACGACTTCAATTATTCATATAATTGATATCTACTTCAACCTATTATACATACAATACTATTCAATTCAAAATCATTTAAAAGAAACCATATTATATTTTAGCATTGGAATCTAAAGTTGGTAATGGATGGGTTGGGTAAGATATTTTGTCAACTCGATTCGAAAAATATATATTCTTTATCTAAATTAGATTCGATTTAAAAAATATACACCTTTCATCCTACTCAATCCAACCAAAAGATATATACTATCCAACCGAATCTGACTTAACCCGATTTTTAGAGCATAAATATGATTCGATCTGATCTAATTCGACATAAATTTATATACAATATCCATAAATTTATATGAAAATTACTATATTACGTCTCGGGGATTTTTCATCCCCCACCTGAACTTGGCCCGACCTAACCTTATATAAAATTTAATCCGAACCCAAAATATTTATAAAGTAATCTAACTTTATTGGATTGAATCGGATTGCCATCATATTTGGATTAAATTGCTATCCCTATTAAAATTACTCCAGCAGTCCTTTAAGGGTTAATCTTAAATGTGCTTAATGAGAAGGGATTATTTTTGAGCCAACAATGTGGGTCTTGATGAGCATGTCTCAATTCGCAATACCATGTGATCGATCATCCCCCTCTCCCTTGTTCTTCACTCTAACCACTTTTTACACTAAAAGCTTATCAATAAATTGAATAAACAACTTTTAAGGAAGTAACAAAAAAATAACTTTATTTAAAAATATTTTTTAAAAAACAATGTATTAGTTCATTAATGATATGTCACATTATTATTATTTTAATAAAAATTAAATCTAAGAATAAAAACGTATGAACTAAACGACATTAATGATTAAAGAGTTGTTACTTTTTAAAGTTCCGAATTTATATACTACGTATGTAAGGATATATGAACGTTCAATGTATAATGGTATTTAATTTATTGGTTGATTAATCTAAATTAAGTACTGCAAAGATCTATTTTAGAATAACTTTCTCGACTCAATTTGTTTTATTCACAACATCAAAATTTGAACCCCTAATATTGTTTAAAGAATCTAGTACATCATCTAACTAGACCAACTGATAGTTAGTGAATTAGTCCATATTTATTTTAAGCATTATCATCACAGTAAGTTTTTCATTTGCCATGCTTGATTATTAAATATTAATAACTTACCGAATAAAATTAAAAGTAATTTAATTTGTTAATTATAGTAAATATTATTTAAATTTTAATAGATATTGTATTATATTCAAATTCAATTCTGAACACAAATCAAACTATCTAAGTTGTTTTGAGAATGAGCTTTGTTACGTTGTTTGAGCGTTCGTTGTCAAATAATTAAGAATTTTTCGAATAAATATTATCTTATAATCATCTCAGACTAATAAAAAAAATTCAATCCCCGACCATCACTCTTCTCAAAATAAATAATTTAATTTAATGTTTACTTTCTATGGTCCAACATACAATAAATAATGTTTAAGCCAAAAGCCACCAACTTTATTCACAAGTTAATGCAATCTTTATTAGCATGAACGACTTGATTAATGAATGGTTTGTATGTAATTATACGTGTTTAACATTTCTCACCTACCTACTTGCCCCTACATACACTTTATTTCTAACCCTTTTTTTCCATTGCCAAACATGATTAAGAGAAAAAATAGCTACAAATTGTTCACCTTTCCTTTTCTGGAAAAAGTAATTTAAAATATTGTTTGGTATGTTAATTATATTATTAATATATTAAATATATATTTTTTATAAAATTTGGATATTGTAACAAAAATATTTATATGAATTTGTATGTAAATATTTTTAATTTAATATTATAAATTTAAGTTGTTAAAAATAGAATATATTATAAGGATAGTTTGGTAAAAGTTACATCCGGATAATCTTATGTTATTTCAATTAAACATCGTAATTGTACATTTCTATTAAATAAACTAAATAATATATAACACTATTAATAATGTTATACTCTATGAATTTTATTTCTAAAAGTAATATTATATTTCGTAAATCAAACGTACTCTTATTATAATCTCGTTCATATATACAATAGATGTGAAGTATATTTATTTTTTAGTTTTGTTAATCGATACTTATAAACACGGTTAAATGTAATTAAAATAAATTATATTTACAATAATTTAATTATTTATGATTTTTATTATTTAATTTTAAAAAATTAGAGATTAGTCATTACGTTTTCGAATTTATTTTTTATTTTTAATCGGCGGCCATTAACTAACAAAAGGATAAAGTGTCAGCTATTAAAAGAAAATAAAAAGTTGAGACAATGATACATTTAGCTCTTGATGTTATATATTTTGTCAATTAATTCATTTTTAGTTAATTTAACTATCAATCTTTAAAAAAGAAAATTTATTTTTAACAATATTGATATAACAATGCGTGGCAATTCACATGTACATTAGTTGTCTCATATAAGTTGTCAACAAATAATTTTAAAATTATGAAAATATTTAAGAATAAAAATATTAAAAACATATAAAAACAAGTTTAAGAAATAACGCGAAGTACACATGAATTACTTTGCATGTTGTCATGTTAGGAATATTTTAGCCAACATATTTAGTAAAACAAAACTTTGATTCTTTTAAAAAGGTTAATGGTAAATTTTAACTTTTTTTTACATGTTAAAGGTCAAATTTAGCTTAAAAAAAAAGGAGTCAATGACTAAATCCATCCTTATGTCCAGTAAGTTTATCCATTAGTTTTTATGCATCGTATTTATTCAATTTAATTTTTTTGAAAGTTAATTATCAACATTTATACACTATATCAAATTTATACGAATCAAGTGTCCTATGTTGTAAATGAATAGTTGTTTCTTAAGATCTTAAATTCGAATATCATGAATGTCAGATATATAAACGTGTCAAATAGTTAAAAAAATTGTCTTTAAACAAATATTATATTATATTTATCCCAAATTAATAAATGTATAAATATGTTTTAAATTCAAAGTTTGGAATTAATTAGAAATTGATATTTATAGTTTCCGAACATGATATTAGAAATTTATCACTTTAGCACTAAGTTGGCAGTGGTCTAAAAAAAGTGAAGAAAAAAAAAGAGTAGGGTAGACCAGTTTGCTCAAAAGGAATGAATTAAATATGGAATCAGGTGAAAAAGGACAGTGGGGGCAAAGCTTTAGTCAAATGTGAATGTTAATTGTACGAATGCACCTACCATTATTTCATCGCTTTTGCACACACATAATTAATACAAAACTCGCTAACATAAGTTTGATCTATATACTTCATAGCTTCAACTCTTAAAAAGTATTCTTTATATGTTTTCTTTCTTTCTATTTGACTTAAGTTTTTTTTCAATATTTTTATATCGTATTATTCCTTTTTTTTTGTTAACCGATGATAATATCAATCTTAACATTAATTGCAGACCATCGGTAATTATTATTTTTCTTATTCCTTTTCATATTATGTATTTTGTTTTTCTTTTCTTGAGTCTTTATATTTTTTTTAATAAGAATCTCTATTTTTGTT